CGAGGCAGTGTTTTTTTAAACTGTGTCAGCAGGAGTGGGGAGAAGATCCCTGGCCTGCTGTCAGAGTGAGGACTCGGGGAAGGGGGCACAGCTGCAATAGTAACATGTTACACCATAAATACGGGAGGGGAGCATACATCTGTCCTACTAAGACACTAGCAAACACTAGCAAAAAATGGTGGCAGGCTGGCAGTGGGAGGGTTTATATTGGGCTGTCTTTTTATTTTTGTTTTGCAGTGTCAATTTTCCTGAAGGCAGCAGCATAAATTATAGACCTGAATACTACATCCTGGGTCCCTTAATGTACCATTAAGAAACACATTTTTTGCTTGTGATATTATCAGTTAAACACAATTTTTACTTGTAATATTATCTGACCGTTTGTATCAGCAAAAACAGCAGGAAAGAATGGGGAGTACACAGGAACCTTATGAACAAAAGAATAACTTTTAGCTTACTTTTTTAATCCAGGATTGCACTGATCTGCACTGGGAAAATGCCAAACAGCAAGAGTGAGAGTTTGAAAGCTATGAATATTTCTGTCCTGACCCTCACACACTTCTGACCCATGCTCTCATCGACTTTTCTGTATCTGACTAGAAAAAACTCCCAGCTCTGCCTTGGCTAATTCGTATCACAACTAATAACAGAACTGACAGTAAACAACACACAAAATAACCAGTGCCTTTTTAAACTTTGTACCGGATGTAACAAGCAATAGAAAAAGTAAATAGATAATTTCATCCAAAATAAATGTGTTGCCAATAATCTTTTTTTTTTTTTTTTTTTTTTTGTTAGTAGTCTGACTTTTTATCCATTTTAGTGGCCACCTTGCCAAGTGTTGTAAAAACATGTTTTGCTTAGGAAAAACAAGTCTAAAGCTGGCCATATATGGATCGATTATTGGCCAGTTTAGGAGGGGCCGGACAAATATTGATCTATGTATGGGCTAGCTGGTTGTACACAAGCCAATCAACCAACTTGTGTACAACCAGCCTGTTAGGTTTTCCCTGAACGATCAGTGCCACTGGCTATAGCCAACAACACTTATTATGGTACCCTGCCGGTGGAGAAGTGTGGATGGAGGAAATTGGCTCATATTTTTTGTTCAACCCACTGGTTGAATGAAAACATGTGTTGCTGTCTTAAAGCATGGAGCATTTTCTCTGTCTCTTTAGAAAAACTAGAGCGCTCTGGGAGTCTTTTGTAATGCAGTTACTTTAGTTTGTACAAAACCTAAAATAAAATTGACTCAAAACCATTAGAGGTATCTCTTATGGGGAGAGGGACTTAAAACACAAAAATTACATGGAGGCATATGTATGTTCCTACCTCTTGCTAGTAATATCTCTTCTTGCAAATTCCCTACAAGTCTGCAAAACACATAACTACCCATTCACATTACGTGTGATGTGGTAACGCACGTTCCGACTTAAGCCCCATTCATTTTTTCATGTGTTTTGTCATACATTTTTATGCGTGTTTGTGTGCAATTTGTTCAGGTGTTTTCAGGCTTTTTGAGTTCTGGCATTTTTGTATTAGCCAATAGAGAAATTTAATCTGTGACGTCAATTGTTGCCATGTTTTGTCATGCTAGAAAAATGCTCATGGTCGTGCGACAAAATGCGCTAAGGTGCATGAAAAGGCGTGATTTGCACTTTTCCAAGTATTTCTATGGGAATGAAAACGCGCCACAAACACACCAATCTTCCCAAATGGAGCTACAAAAGTAGCTCCAAAACATTTCTGAGCTTCAAGTGACTTGGAGTGGAGATGTGAACCATCTCCATAGAGTTATAATGATGTTTTTCTCCCCAAACATTTTGAAGCTTTGAGCTTCACGCTACAAAACGCTGAAGTGTGAATGGGGCTTTAGGTGTTGGGGCTTTGCAACTCCTGACTTAGGTGTTGGGAGGCAAATTTTCTAAAATCAATTCGAAGTTAATCCAGACCAAGTAGAAAGAGGCAGTAAAAGTAATTTAGGTAGATATACTGTTAAAACTGCATATCCCTCATTAAACACAATAGGAATAAAAATTGCATATACATTATAACATATTCATTATAATTTACTTACTCATTTCACCTTTCATGTTCTGTAGATTAATAAAAACCTGGTTGATCCTGCTGTTTACTGGTGCTGCCTCTCTGCCCCTGCCCCACCACTACACCCTCTTATTTGGCTGCTTCCAGCTGTACTGCCATGCTCCCTTTTCTTGTGAACAGACAAGCTATTCACTTCCTAGTCTGTCACGATGTAGGCTGCCCATGTGAATAGAGAGTCATCTTTGTAGGCTTTTAAACAGTAGATGAGTGACTTCCTTTTCCCCTCTTCCATGCCAACATGTTTCTAATCACTAGCGGGGTGGATCTAACAGGGAATGATTGATGGAGGCATCACCTAGTTATTAGTCCCCCCACATACAAAAATAATAGACAAAATGTTTTTAAATTAGAATTTCTATGAATGTTTAAAGCAATTTAGTTAAATTTATTTTTGCTTGAATCCCAAATAAGTTTTTTTTTTTTTCACTAAGTCATGTGACCACTACAGCACCAGTCAGCAGTATGCGGTCACAGGAAGACAGTTCATAGTTCAGTGAATTACGGTCACATCAGTCAGGGCCGCTGCAATACAATGAAGCTAAACTAATACAGAAAGTAAAAAGGTATTTGCCAGCTTAAAAAAAAAATTAGATGCTGCAGCATTGTGTATACACATTGTAATAATGAACTACAGTCAGGTCCATAAATATTGGGACATCGACACAATTCTAACATTTTTGGCTCTATACACCACCACAATGGATTCGAAATGAAACGAACAAGATGTGCTTTAACTGCAGACTGTCAGCTTTAATTTGAGGGTATTTACATCCAAATCAGGTGAATGGTGTGGGAATTACAACAGTTTGCATATGTGCCTCCCACTTGTTAAGGGACCAAAAGTATTGGGACAGAATAATTATAAATCAAACTTTCACTTTTTAATACTTGGTTGCAAATCCTTTGCAGTCAATTACAGCCTGAAGTCTGGAAAGCATAGACATCACCAGACACTGGGATTCATCCCTGGTGATGCTCTGCCAGGCCTCTACTGAAACTGTCTTCAGTGCATGCTTGTTCTTGGGGCATTTTCCCTTCAGTTTTGTCTTCAGCAAGTGAAATGCATGCTCAATCGGATTCAGGTCAGGTGATTGACTTGGCCATTGCATAACATTCCACTTCTTTCCCTTAAAAAACACACTTCAGATGTTTTGGGGTCATCCTGCTGCTTTTGTCAGCAGTCACATCATTGCCCGAAACAATAAATACAAGAGTCAACCAGTTCATTGGAGAACCAGCCATGGCACATGCCCACGCCATGACACTACCACCACCATGCTTCACTGATGAGGTGGTATGCTTAGGATCATGAGCAGTTCCTTTCCTTCTCCATACTCTTCTCTTCCCATCACTCTGGTACAAGTTGATCTTGGTCTCATCTGTCCATAGGATGTTGTTCCAGAACTGTGAAGGCTTTTTTAGATGTCGTTTGGCAAACTCTAATCTGGCCTTCCTGTTTTTGAGCCTCACCAATGGTTTACATCTTGTGGTGAACCCTCTGTATTCACTCTGGTGAAGTCTTCTCTTGATTGTTGACTTTGACACACATACACCTACCTCCTGGAGAGTGTTCTTGATCTGGCCAACTGTTGTGAAGGTGTTTTCTTCACCAGGGAAAGAATTCTTCGGTCATCCACCACAGTTGTTTTCCGTGGTCTTCTGGGTCTTTTGGTGTTGCTGAGCTCACCGGTGTGTTCCTTCTTTTTAAGAATGTTCCAAACCATTGTTTTGGCAACGCCTAATGTTTTTGCTAATTCTCTGATGGGTTTGTTTTTGTTTTTTCAGCCTAATGATGGCTTGCTTCACTGATAGTGACAGCTCTTTGGATCTCATCTTGAGAGTTGACAGCAACAGATTCCAAATGCAAATAGCACACTTGAAATGAACTCTGGACCTTTTATCTGCTCATTGTAATTGAGATAATGAGGGAATAACACACACCTGGCCATGGAACAGCTGAGAAGCCAATTGTCCCATTACTTTTGGTCCCTTAACAAGTGGGAGGCACATATGCAAACGGTTGTAATTCCTACACCGTTCACCTGATTTTGATGTAAATACCCTCAAATTAAAGCTGACAGTCTGCAGTTAAAGCACATCTTGTTCGTTCGTTTTATTTCAAATCCATTGTGGTGGTGTATAGAGCCAAAAATGTTAGAATTGTGTCGATGTCCCAATATTTATGGACCCGACTGTATGTCACTTAACCCTTTTGTATTCAATACCATTTAATGTACAAGTTTAGGATGTATACTACTCTACCATGCATTTTATCCTGATTTGTTATTTCCTACTCAGCACTTTACTGTCAAATTAACACATATGTCAATTTCTCCACCTTTTTTTATAGTGATTTAGAAAAAATCATATATCTCGTTATGGAGTATCGAACCATTCCCTTCATACTGTACATTCTATATTACAGTTCTAATTATCTAGGATACCATAGATAAGGAAGAATGACCCCGTTTCTTTTCTCTATTGATCATACACATTATCATTTCTTTATTATAATTCTTACAATTTCGTAAGATCATTATTTCCCCAAGAAGGATGAGAATTTATTGCAATAATTCTGTCCAAGGGGCATGCTTTTTTTTTTTTAACAGTATTTTTTTCTCCATTCACTTACTCCTCTCATACTTCATACCCTAATAAGGTGATCTCCCCAATCCTGCATGTGATGTAATCTCTGCATTAGCATAGTAACCCAGCCTATATGAGTATCCTCATGTTTTAAATGAGAAACATAGTGTAATATCAAGATAAGATTGCCTTAGTTTTATGCTTGGTCTGGATGAAGAGAAGCTGCACTTATGATTAAGGTTGCAGGCCGACCTAGAAGCTTTATGACAAACTTACTAGTTTTGGCAAAAGGTTATAACAAAATTTAGTTAGAAAAATGTGTACAATGAAATACATACCACTTTTGGTTTAAAGGGTGGTTCTACTTCTCTCTTTTCCAAAGCAGTCCAGTTGATAGTCTTGAAGAAAGGATGTAACTTGATGTTTCCAGTTACACCAAGTCTCTTTGTGGGATCTCTCACAAACAGCTTCAAAATAAGAACATTAACATAAGAAACTGATAAGCAGCTATTTACACGCATTACATTGTGTGACCTAACAGATTAATCACCGACACGGATTTGTGGTATAAAAAAAAAAAAAAAAAAAAAAAAAAAAGTGTATACAGGATGACAACAAAACTCAGACATTAGTGAGAGACTCCCACCCATACCTTCTCTAGGATGTCTTTGGATTCCTTTGTGATCCATCTTGGATAGTGTGGAGTGTCCATTCTAATGGATTCAAACAGCTCATCCTCATCATCACCATGGAAAGGAGACTGACCAATCAACATTTCATACAGCAGGACTCCAAATGACCACCAGTCTACAGAAAATGTGTACTTATGTCCATGTAATATCTGTAAGTATACAGTTACCCAAGATTAAAGATCAACCTGTCTAGAACAGATTTTAAAGTTATATATATAGTAGTTTTTATTTTACAATGAGAAATTAAGTGGTCAAAAAAATAATACAGAACTCAGCCTGTATGTCCAATACAGAAGCCAGCAGGGACGAGGAATTTAGAGCTTGGGATCTAGTTCCATTGACAACATCAGGCAAACATGACTGTTTTAGGCACCCTGGCAATAATTCCTGACTCGAATAAAAGAGTAAACTGCTATTTTTGTCACATGACATCAAAGAAACTTCAGTATCAAGAGAGACCTACTGTATACTTGCTGAGAAAAGTACCTCCAGCCCCAGGGCATGATAGGCTATTCCTTGCAAGATGAAAATTATAGCACAAAAGCCATAAGCATAGAAAGTTTGTGCTAACATTTACATGCATACAGCGTACACGGATCCTGCTGGCCACCACTGTTCAGGGCCAACATGTAAATATCAGGGGAGACTGCTAATTACACTATTGAAGTTTACATCCCCTACTGAATGTGTCATTCATGAGACCTATTCTGAACGACTGAGGCCCAAGGTCATTCTGCATGCGTTGCGGCAGGAATAATTCATATGAGGGACTATGTAAACATTAATGAAGTATAATTAACAGCGGAGGTGCCAATAAGGTCCACATACGAGATATGCATGTACATTTTAGCCCAAATGTTTACTTGGGTACGGGGTAAATTATGATACAAATATGGACTGCGCATACAGATTTTTTTTTTTTTTTTGCACTGCCCAGTGCAAGCATGTCAGTGGGCCCATAGACTTCTATAATGCTGCATACAGATATGTACAAAGTATATATTGTACACCTGCAGGCCAGGGCATTCTCTGCCCCTTAGCTGCATGTACACAAAGAGTGACATCAATGACCTAACCCAAGTTTGGACCAAACCAGAGATCATCACTATTCACTATCGTTTAGTATCAAAAACAAACCTAAAGTCAGGTAAGTATCTAACAGGGCAGAAGGATATTAGTATATGGAGATGTTAACTCCTGTTGATACAGAAATACTGTATAATAAAAATTTCCACTTTCCTTCTACAGAGGATGCCCCCAGACAATATGCATCAATCACTTTAGCATGACAGCTCCATATAACTGGAGGTAATATCTATGAATACTTATTAGACAGTTGTTATTCGTACCTCTGGAGCAATATAATCTGGGGTCCCACAGAAAGTGCTTGCTTTATTTTCATCAATAACATTCTCCTTGCACATACCAAAGTCTGCAATCTTGATATGACCATCCCGATCCAACATCACATTATCCAATTTCAGATCCCTAAAGGGAAACACGAAGTTTTGCACACATTCTCAAATCTCCTTAGGACTAGTAGGTATTCATACCATAATTTGATATCCTTCTACATTTTATCTAATATACGGTAAGTATATAAAAATAACTAAGTATTCATATATTTTTGCCTACACACAAAGTGGACTTGCACTCAAAAAGTGAAGATTTGTTACATTACAGGGAACATTTAGAAATAAGCAGTACCCTGAAAATGTGTCTTTGCCTTGAATTCCTTCCTAGTATGTGAGGGTCCCTAGACACTCCTGTGCCTACAGACTGTGTACCTGTAGTGTGAGAGCTAAGGCATTGCTGCCTTTGACTCTTAGTCTAGGGAGATTTGGAAATGTCACTACTGTGCTGCTCACTGTTATTGCTGGAGGCTCTGATATGAAGATGCAAAGCCCTGCCTCTGACAAGATGGCAGCCTCCACAGAGGGACATACTGCAGAACAAGGATCGGCAAGTCAGACTTGGGGAAATATCGGCTGCAGGGAGACCACAGACAACACTGGTGACTTTACCCTTTAGCCTGACTCTTTTGGAGATAGATAGTAAATATCTATCTACAGGTAGATATACTTCTCTACACCTGTTTGTTTGGACTCTAATATTCCTGTAGCGTTTATCACCTAGGGAAGAGAGTTTACAACCCACTACTTTTTCTGCAGTGTAGATTTCTGCAAAGCGTTTTCATTTGCCACAGTACAATTTGGGTATGCCAATACAGTCTCATTCGATGAACAACAGAAAGTTTTTAATACTTTCCCCCTAGAACATTCTTCCCTAGTAACCTCAAGAAGTATAATTGTTGGTGAGATTTTTTTTTGTAATTGCATATACATTTGAGGACCATGAAAGATTCTCAGAAAAAAAAAATGTATATATATATATATATATATATATATATATATATATATATATATATATATATATATATATATATATATATATATATATATATATATATATATATAGATAATACTAAAATAAAAATTTTATCCCAAAGGAAGGAGGAAAGTGACAGACCCAGCTTCAGCAATGTCTCAAAAACATAAGTCTGGAGTAATGGTGTTAAAGGCTGAGCTGTGGTGTATAAACTGCATTCTCTTGTAGTTTCCTGGGCCATCCAGATGACTCAATGCCATATCCAACGTTAATGCAATGGCATCTAGAGCTTCCAGAGATCAGTTCATCTTTATTCTTAATATTATACAGGATTTATATAGCACCAACAGTTTGCGCATCAGTTTACAAAATTAAGGTAGACATCACAGTTACAATAAAATTTGGTACAAGAGGAAACTTTAAATATTAGATTTGAATAATAGTTTTGGGTTTGAACCTAGTTACTGTATATTGGGAGTAGTGATGCTCAACAAGGTACAGGTGAAACTCGAAAAATTTGAATATCGTGCAAAAGTTAATTTATTTCAGTAATGCAACTTAAAAGGTGAAACTAATATATGAGATAGACTCATTACATGCAAAGCAAGATAGTTCAAGCCGTGATTTGTCAGAATTGTGATGATTATGGCTTACAGCTCATGAAAACCCCAAATCCACAATCTCAGAAAATTTGAATATTACATGCAATCAATAAAACCTCTGAAAAGTATAAGCATGCATATGTACTCAGTACTTGGTTTGGGCCCCTTTTGCAGCAATTACTGCCTCAATGCGGCGTGGCATAGAAGCTATCAGCCTGTGGCACTGCTGAGGTGTTATGGAAGACAAGGATGCTTCAATAGCAGCCTTCAGCTCTTCTGCATTGTTCTGTCTCATGTCTCATCTTTCTCTTGGCAATGCCCCATAGATTCTCTATGGGGTTCAGGTCAGGCGAGTTTTCTGGCCAATCAAGCACAGTAATCCCACTGTCATTGAACCAGGTTTTGGTGCTTTTGGCAGTGTGAGCAGCTGCCAAGTCCTGCTTGAAAATGAAGTCAACATCCCCATAAAGCTTGTCTGCGGAAGGAAGCATATAGTGCTCCAAAATCTCCTGGTAGACGGCTGCGTTGACCCTGGACTTAATGAAGCACAGTGGACCAACACCAGCAGATGACATGGCTCCCCAAATCAACACAGACTGTGGAAACTTCACACTGGACTTCAAGCATCTTTCAGTGTGTGCCTCTCCATTCTTCCTCCATACTCTGGGTCCTTGGTTTCCAAATGAGATGCAAAAGTTGCTCTCATCAGAAAAGAGGACTTTGGACCACTGAGCAACAGACCAGGTCTGTTTTTCTTTAGCCCAGGTAAGACGCTTCTGACGTTGTTTGTTGTTCAGGAGCGGCTTGACAAGAGGAATACGACATTTGAAGCCCATGTCCAGGATCCATCTGTGTGTGGTTGCTCTTGATGCACTGACTCCAGCCTCAGTCCACTCCTTGTGAAAGTCCCCAACACTTTTGAAAGGCCTTTTCCTGACAATCCTCTCCAGGCTGCGGTCATCCCTGCTACTTGTGCACCTTTTTCTTCCACACTTTTCCCTTCCACATAATTTTCTATTAATGTGCTTTGATACAGCACTTTGGGAACATTCAACTTCTTTTGCAATTACTTTTTGAGGCTTTCCCTCCTTATGGAGGGTGTCAATGATGCTTTTCTGCACAACTGTCAGGTCAGCAGTCTTTCCCATGATTGTGATTCCTACTGAACCAGACTGAGAGACCAATAAAGGCTCAGGAACCCTTTGCAGGTGTTATGGCTTAATTAGCGGATTAGAGAGGGACACTTTGAGCCTAGAATATTGCACCTTTTCACAATATTCTAATTTTCTGAGATTGTGGATTTGTAGTTTTCATGAGCTGTAAGCCATAATCATCACAATTATGACAAACCACATCTTGAACTATCTTACTCTGCATGTAATGAGTCTATCTCATATATTAGTTTCACCTTTTAAATTGCATTACTGAAATAAATGAACTTTTGCATGATATTCAAATTTTTCGAGTTTCACCTGTATATAGAGCCAGAAAATCATTTGATACGCATTTTGGATGAGCAAGTCGAAGGCAGAAGATCTCTCAGCAGAATCCTCACCTCTACCAGTCACTGAAATTGTGAAATGAGTGTAAGTAAATTACATACTACCCTTAAATATTATGCTAGTATTTTGTCTTACCTATAAATAATTCCCTTTGAGTGGAGGAATTGTAATCCACAGATTATTTCACTTGCATAGAACCTGAAGACAGATGGAAAAATTCACATGGGTTGTAATATATATATATATATATACACAATCAGATAAATAAATGTAATGGAGTACATAAACATTATATGGTCTTGAGCATTAATCCAGTCTGGAATAATGATGAATGAACCATTAACTAAGCTGCTAAAAGAACAGTTCTGAGTCCTCCAGCAGCCTGGGTTGGTTTATTTATTAACATGACACAAACAGAATTAATATAGTCAAAGATAATAGGTAGCAATCTTTAGTAGAATAAACTTATAGCAGACAAAGAAATCTAGAAGGTTTCAACTGACTATTTCAATTTAGCTATGAAGAAAATACTTACGTAGCCCTGAAAAGATCAAACCGACCCTTGTCCTGTATGTGGAACATCAAATCACCACCGTTCAGAAACTCCATAACAAAGAAGAGATGCTCCTGTTTTGGGGTACAGAAAAAAGCACTTGAATGAGACCCATTCTAGTTTGGACAAACCACCTGATCACTTACTGACAATTGTTTGTTTTTGTATTTGTCCCACACTAGGACATCAATATAACCAAACAATATTGTAAAAAGTCCAACCACTTAAATTGTTTTTGCCAACATCCCAATGTATATAGACCAAGAAAAGCTAGAAATAATCCCCTGGGAATTTGTATGGCAAAAACCACGAGTATACAAAAATTTAAAAAACAATGTTTATTACAAAAGATTATCACAATAAAAGTAATCAAAAGATTTGAAATAGTAGCTTATGATACAAATGTTCATATATCACATGCAGAACATACATTGTGTGCATAAAACCTGATAATCTGTAGTACATCAACTGGCAAATGAGTTGACAGCCCAAAAGAACTTGTACAGTGATGTTAATCAGACAAATCCAACACAATTCAGAACTAATTTCCTTCTTAAGGGACTAAATATGTTAGGTCTAGAACATAACATCATATCAAATGAGTGTAAATAATATAATACATAATATAATTTTAAAAAGTATGTAAAAGAAAGCTGGTTGCTCAAACACTTACAGATTGCACCACATCGAATAATAAGTGACAGGTATTCATAGAAAATTGACTGGGGATGCTTTCCAAAAGACACGTCAGGGAGAGAGCAGGTAGAGACGCCCCCAGCAAGCCATCCACCAGCGAGGACCACATAGCAGCAGCCAATAAGGGGATCTAACAAGTGTAATAGGAGCCATAAATTAAAAAAAAAAAAAAATATAATATTTGTTTGGCACATGAAAATGATGTGTGGCCCAAGCAAAAAGATTGTTAGCATAAGGGCCAAGTCAAAAATATGTGTTATGGTGGAATAACAAAATAAATCCGACCCAAATAAAACTAACAAAGGATACATATATGGGCCCATATGAAAACAAACAGACTCACCCAACCATGAGGAGAGTGTACAAAAATATTAGAACATTATAAAATGCTCATCAATAGTACCGCTATACGTCTCACATGCAGCCACCTCAGGATTATCCAAGAGAAATGCAAGCGCCAGAGATCTCGTATAAATAGTAGTGATCCAATACTCATACGCCAGTGAACAGCTGTCCCTGTTTGGCGCCAAATGTTATAAGTAATTAAGTATATGAATTGTCCCCCAATCTTTCTGCAAAAGCAGTGTCATGGCCGCCATTCACGGTCCCCTGGCCCCACGAGCACGCGGCATTGGCCTGTCCGCCTGAGCACTGACGTCACGCAACCATGAGATGACGTCACGCACATTCGCTGCATGCAGGGCTGTCGGCGCGCCCAGCCAGCCGCAGCCCAACAAGGGCACTGCAGACACGCCCAGCAGCCCCAGAGAAAGGGCATGCTGACCCCTGCTGGGGAAACGCATATTACAGGTACCGAGGGCTGAGGTCAGAAAACACAAGGCCCCTCCGTGGAATCAACCCTGGGGGGAGGCCCGGGTGAGCTACCAGACCACCCCAGCACTGTCAGCGGGAGCATCCAACCTTCAATATAAAAAAATAGCATAATACAAGTGGTGCATACAAAGTATTGCTGAAATACAAAAAAGAAAAACATCAAGGAAAAAACACAGTATGAAGAATATAATACATACATGGCACAAAACATGGAATAGATGAAAAATTACAAATCCCTTACTATTTAAAAAGGAAGTGGATGTGTTGAAGCAACTTCTACTGGAGTGTGATTATACTATTGTCTTAAAAGTGCCTATAAAAAGAGCCTGTTTATCTACACGCCATGATCTCTGTCACTTATTAGTCGATGTGGTGCAATCTGTAAGTGTTTGAGCAACCAGATTTCTTCTACATACTTTTAAAATTATATTATGTATTATATTGTTTACACTCATTTGATATGATGTTTTGTTCTAGACCTGACATATTTAGTCCTTGAAGAAGGAAATAAGAGTTCTGAAAAGGGTTGGATTTGTCTGATTAACATCACTGTGCAAGTTCTTTTGGGCTGTCAACCCATTTGCCAGTTGATGTACTACAGACTGTCAGGTTTATGCACACCATGTATGTTCTGTATGTGATATATGAACCTTTGTCTTATAAGCTACTATATAAAATCTTTTGATTCATTTTATTGTGTTAATCTTTTTTGTAGTAAACATTCTTGTTTAAAATTTTTGTATACTCATTGTGGTTTTTCCCATACAAAGTTCCAGGAGAATATTTCTAGCTTTTCTTAGTGTGGGATGAAGACATAAACAAAACCCTTTCCCACTCTAACAAAAAAAAATAAAATAATGTGTTCCTGCCCTCAGAGATTACCATGCACTTCTTGTTCCGACACCTGTCAAATCAACAGAAAGACAGAGTATAAAGCTTACGTTTAATCTGCTTATACTTTCCTTCTCCAATATCTTCATAATAATGTGAATACCATTTTTGAATTAAAGCTTTCCATTTTCATTAAATATTTTATTATTTTAGACCCAGTGATGTCATCACTGTGTCTCTGTACTTTTCTGTGCAATGCAAGCAGATAATGGCTTGATAAAAGCCAGCGGGGTGCTGTATAGAGCCTAAGGAAATCACAGTGCCCTGTCTCAGTACCCCTTCTCAAGATCCCCAAGCTCTGATGCAAATAGTGGTCTGGCTCTTGGGAGGCACTATGCAAATATAAAAATGCCTTAATGAGTGAATGTCAGTCCACAGGTATTGCCCACATGTGATACTAAGCATCCGTGACTGAAAGAACTGAAAGCTAATTAATGAAAAGGGCAGGCCAGAGACCATAAAAAGGTGGAGAGGAAGGCCTAGATGATGCTGGGTGTTCTCCAGCCAGAAAATAAGAAGCTTAAAGTGTGACAGATGATTTCAGGGATGACCAAATCCCTTACGGCCTAAGCTTGAACAGCAAAGCTGTTAAGCTAGTGACCACAAAGCAGGGAGGTATAGCAGCACTTGGGAGAGAAGATCCAAACTACCTGTGAGGAGATTCTGCCAAGAGTTTGACAATATCCAAGAACAACATCCTCCCAGGCAAATTCAGCGAAAATCACTGTAATACCCTTCATATCAATAATGAGGAGTAGGAAAGGAAGAAGCTTAGAGGAGAAAAGATAGATTAGGCTGAACTGATGCCACAGAGTCACCATAGCATCCCTTGTGAAGGCCAGAGGTACCCTGGACCTGGAGACACATCTGCTCAGTTTGCCGTTGAGCATGAAAGCCAAGGGGCCCACGGGCGCTTTCCCCCATCTGTGAGAGAGGTTTTGAAACTCTTTCAGGTAAAGAGACCATTCTTCAGGTGTCCAGATGTTGACAAATGAGAAAGTCCACCTACCAATTTTCCATGCCCTGGATGTGTGCAGCAATCAGATGGAACATGAAGTTCTGTCCAAGCCAGAATCATATCAGTTTTTGCTTTGATCCACAAGATTTCCAGTGCCTCCCTGATGGGTAATGTAAACCACTGCAGTGGCATTACCTGACAGATGACTTTACAGAAAACAGGTCTGGCATTAAAAGGATAACCTAATCTCTCTTAATTCCAGAATACTAAATCAGGAGCAGAGATTCCTCTGACAACCAAGTCCCTTGTACCGAGAGGATACCTAGGACACCTCCCCAACCTAATAGATTGGCATGTGCATATGACAGATGCCAAACTATTGGGAGGAAGGATTTTCCTGATTCCGTAATCCAACTTGCGACTCACCACAACATGGCAGGCTTGGTCCTGCTAGTCAAGCATTAGGAACAATCCAAAAGACTGATAGCTCTTTTCCCAAGCTGCCAGAATGCTGAGTTGCAATGCTCTGCTGTGAAACTGAGCAAATGGAACTGCCTTGCATCACTCATGCAAAAACAAAGGGTTGGATGGACTCTTGACAGCAGAGTCTGAATGTGGGAGCAAAGAGACAAGAGGTTGTCCAGGGGAAGCAAAACCTTGGACAGGGGCATGTTTAAGAACAGACTCAGGTACTCCAAGAGACATGGTTCTAGCACTGATTTCTGGAGATTTGGAATGCAACAAAAATCTCTAATGGGTCTGTAAGGTCCATTGGACATGGCTGATGACAGAGCTTGCACTGACTGTTCCAATATCTCACAATGGAATTCACTGCGTTTGAAGAAGTGCAAGAACCAGGGCTAGCACCTTGGTTAAAACTCAAGGTCCAGGAGACAGGCCAAAGCAAAGGACCACAAATTGGTAAGGTTTGCCCGAAACATTGATATGCTGGGAAGATAAGGATGTGTAAGTATGCATCTTTGAGGTTCACACAGGTCAGAGATTGTAGGGGAAGCACTGACAAAGTAGATTTTTTTACTGAACTTTTAAACTCAAAGTCTGTTGAGAATCTCTAGATCTAATATGGGGTGGCTGTCCCCTTTTGCTTCGGGTACGGTAAAAAGGTTTGGAATAAAAAATCGTAGAACCTCTCCCGCTTCAGGCCTATGGTTATGGCCTCTTGAGAGGGAAACTGCTCCAGAAATGCATGGAGGTCCGCTAACCTTTGTGAAGATGTTAGCAAGTCTGACAACGTGAAGTGGGGTGAAGGGACTAAACTCTAGTTTGTAGCCCCCAGGAGCAATGTTCTGGGAGCTCCAGATGTTTGAGGATAGAAGAATCCGTAACTCTAGAACCAGAATCCTGGGAAAAGGCCTTGGACAGTTGTCAACTTATGAGCTAAAGGGGGCCGACATCACGACAGGACTGCACGTAATGTTTAATATATGTAATGCTTGAGAACACGGTTAGAAACTGCAGACCTAATAGAGGAAACAGGAGTCATAGACTGTGAAAATTATATGTATTTGGCTGGGGATATGCTACAGAACAAATACAAAACTGGGAAAATGTTACATAAAACTAGTAGAGCTCAATGCTATTACCCCAATCAAAGTTCCCTCTACAAATTGCTGAGGTCCAAGAGCTGCAGATCAAATACCAAAGGACCACATGTGGCCCTCACGCCACAGATTGGGTACTAGGAGACTAGACAGAGTTTAGCAGATGATATGGTTGCAACAGCAGGCTGCATGGCAGGGGCCTGCAAGGAAAAAAAATAAAAAAAAGCTTTAGAAGAGGTCCTTGTCATTTGTCCCCCAGGGTCCTTGAACACCAGGATATCCTCAACATGGGACTGTTAAGGTCTTGAGAACCCAACCATTTGCGGTCTAAACAGTGACAGCCCACTTCTTTTGGAAACTCTCTTCAATAAGGTACTGCTACAGCAAAGGTTCAGAGAGCCCAGGATGGGGAGCTTTTGCAAGCCTGACGCAAACTACTTTAAAGGAACATGTACACTGCATCCAAAAGGACAAATATGCCATTAAGCTTTGGAGATATGCCAGGATTCTGACTTTCTTCATTTGCTGAGCCCTTAGAACTGGGCAAATCACCATCTTCATTTTCCACACCCAAATGGGAAACAGCAGCTGCTGTTAAAGGAAGACCAGAGACACACAGACTCTTGGGGTGAGTTGGAGGGGGCTCGCTTGCAGCCCCTGTGGGTCTAGAACTTAAACAATGCCAAAAGCTGACCCATGAATTCAGATATGGTAGCAGAATATTCCTCCTTTTAAAAAAAGAGGAGTGGGCCACTTCAAAAGGAGTTAAGGAGGCCCCTGAGGAGGACAGCAACTCATGCTGGGGGCAGCAGTCTGGATCTTTATAATCAGGACCCTTAAGGGAATGCTGCAGACTCCCTCCAAGCTGTTGGCTGAACATGAGGCAGCAGGACCCACTGTGCACCCAGGATACACCATGGCATAGGTTTTGAGTGAATTTATCTAGGTGTACTACTCACAATAACATTACAGGTTAAAAAGGTCAATGTCATCTGTGATCATCACTGAATGTCCTAGAGGATTGCTGGTGCAGGTATGGGTGAGGAGAAAGAGGAAAGGTCAAGGTGATAAACAGAAAAGTCACCCAATTCAAGCTGGAAGCAATCTTCTCCTGCCACTTGCATGACTGAATGTTTTGCAGTTGGCACTCTGTCGGTATACCCCCTGGGAGAACGGCACAGCATACTTGAGCTCCCATTTGATAGGAGAAGAGCCATTACCACCATCATCATCCAGTAGTGCTGACAGCTCCATGTTTCTTGAACAGCAGAGTATTCGGACATCTCCATGACAGCATGGGCTGTCATTCCGGGCCGGTATTAAGAGATTTTGGAATTGGTAAAGATGATAACAGCGGTCCTGTTGAAGATCCAGGCAGCAACAGAGCAAGGAGGGATCAGGGACAGTATTCTTTGCCAGCCTTGTGCAGCAGAAGCTCAGGTTCTTCTGGGGTTGGGGGAGGGGGGAATATCTGGGGTTGCGAGGTAATGTATTTCAGAGGGCAACCTCCTTTGTCAGGCCTAGTTAGTGTCTGGAGGAGCTGCTGCTTTGCATGCTCAGCAGCAGGAGCAGGAGGTAAAGCTTCTAACTTACAAAAACCCTTTAAAAAGATGTTTAAAATAATTTATTAAATCCAAAAAGTATTATAGAATTATAATAGTTTTAAAACAAGACTATGATAAAAACAAATAGTGTAAACCTGTCACATAAAAGTGATTAGTAAACAAAGTCCAATCTTAAAAAAGTGTCCATATACATTTTTCATTTTACTGAAGATTATTAACAAAAAGGAAAAAACAAAAACTGGAACTTTGTTTCTTTATAAGCTACCACTGTGAAAAAATACATTCTTCTAACCATTTTGCTATCGATACACATTGTTATTGTTTTCTATGTTTATGTATAGCCTACATTTACCAGTGTACAAGAGAATGGCCATATTTGCTCATTATCTAACTAGGATATGCTTCCTTTTGATCCTTTGGTCTCATCATTGAGGTTTGTCTGACTGAAAACAATGGACACTCCGCAGTATACTTTACAGCTATAGTACACCTGGTACCAAGAAACCCTATTGCCCATGTTTGTAAATGACGTGGAGCTCAGGGCAGCATTAGATTTTCATGCTAAGAAAACTACGTCTTTAACCTGTATTTCCACTTTGAAAGCTAAATTAGGATAACACCTACTTTAGATTTGTTACATGTTCCTATTAACATAGCATAACTTCATCAAAAATATTTAAACATTGCTGGTCATCTTTAATTACTTAAACATCCTTGCATGCTTTCCCTGCGGAGTAATGTTTAACATAATTAACCCTGTCTGTACTGTGTTCGCAGTTCTTCATTGTCAGCTGTAAAGAAGATTTAAACACTGCGAAAACACAAGCAAAAGAGGGCGCGCACCAGCCTAATGCATTATCCCATGCACCATTTATTAACCACTTGACCTCCAGAGGATTTACCCCCCTTAATGACAAGGCTTCTTTTTGCTACTCGGCGCTGCATTAATTCAACTGATAATTGCGCGGTCATGCAATGCTGCACCCAAACAAAATTTACGTCCTTTTTTTCATACAAATAGAGCTTTATTTCAGTAGTATTTGATCATCTGTGCGCTTTTTATTTTGCGCGCTATAAACAAAAAAAGGCCAAAAATTTTGAAGAAAAACAATATTTTTTACTTTCAGCTATAAAAAATATATAGTAAACTCAAAATTGGTTATAAATTTAGGCCAAAATGTATTCTGCTACATGTTTTTTGGTAAAAAAAAAAATCCCAATAAGTGTATATTGATTGCTTTTTGTGAACGTTATAGCGTCTACAAACTATGGTATAGATACTGCAATTTACGCCATTTGTTTGCTATACAGCGCTGTGCTAGTTTAATGGACAATTGCGCGGTCATGCAATACGGTATATAAATTAAATTTACACCTTTTTTTTCCCCACAAATTGAGCTTTCTTTCGGTGGTATTTGATCGCCTGTGCGGTTTTTATTTTTTGCGCTATAAAAAAAAAAGGCTGACAATTTTGAGGACAAAAAAAAACAATATTTTGGACTTTTTGCTATAAAACATGTCCAGTAAAAAAAAATGTAAAAATCAAATTTAGTTATAAATTTCTGCCAAAATGCATTCTGCGACATGTCTTTGGTAAAAAAAAAAACCCAATACGTGTAAATTAATTGGTTTACGTGAAAGTTATAGCGTTTACAAATGGCGGGAAAGATACTGGGATTTTTAGTTTTTTTTTTATACTAATAATGGCGGTGATCAGCGACTTATGGCGGCGATCAGCAACTTATGGCGGGACTGCGGCGGACATTCTGACATTGGGGGGTACTGACTTGGGGTCACTGACATCCCCAGTGACACCAATACAGTGATCAGTGCAAAAAAAAAAAAAAAAACACTGACACTGCACTAATGGCACTGGGGAGGAAGGGGTTAACTTTATTTTTCAGGGAAGGATTATCTGTGTGAGGGGGAGTGTTTTACTAGGGGGGGCGGGGGGTGTGTACTGAAGGGAACACCGCTGATTGGGAGAGAGACACTCTTCTGTCCCGGTCAGCGTGTTCTCGAGCTGTCAGGGAAGTGACAGAAAGCACAGCTACTGCAGCTGTGCTCTCTGTCACTGATTGCCGCCGATCGCCGGGAGATAGCTGGTAAGGACCGGCTGTGACCCGGCGACTGACATCCACGGCTGTGATCGGTGGGACAGGCAGGGCGGCGGCGCGCCTCGCGCGCGTCCCCTACCTGTTTACAAAACACACATTTTAAAACGTGGTTTTGCCTGCCCGTGCCACCCTGCCAACGTATTTCTACAGTGGCAGGGCGGCAATGGTGGTTAATAATCCACAAATAAATATACTCACAAATGGTGCATGGGATAATGCACTAGGCTGGTGCACCCTCTTTTGCTTGTGTTTTTATAGTGTGTTCACCATGCTCCACCAATCCTGAGATGACAGCAAGGCTTGGCATGTCCCTGCTCCGTGTTGAGAGGCAGAGGTACATGGAGAACTGTTACCAGACTATTACACTCATGCACAGGGGGTTTTTGTTCTGTATAAGATTTGAACACAGTCTGCCCCAACAAAGGGTTAAAAATGTCGGCCAAAAAGATAACTTAAGTGTGATTTTTGTTGACAGGCCACTTTAAAGGGGAATTCTTATTTCAATAACAATGTCTGATGTCATGAAACATATAACTGTGATTTAGTAATACAGAAGGTAGGGCACTTATAAGAGTGCTGCTATTGCCATTCAGTTCAGCATATCATAATATTTTATTAGTGTGTTTGGTGGGCCTCTTTACTGATATCACTTGGTTACCTTAGTCTGGAAGGTGCAGTAGATATGAGTTAGAAATGGATTGTCCCATGCTAATGCCAGCACACGTTTCTCCACCATGGTGCACTCCACATCATCATCAATCAGCACTACGTCTTTCTTTAGAGCTTTTACAGCAAAAAACTCATTCTTGCCTTTTACCTCAGCTAAGAGGACCTAGAAAGAAAGGCATGGGAGCATGAAATAGGTGCTTAGAAGACAACAAGGAAAGAGTGTAAAACTATCACAGCTGTTTACCTTTCCAAAGCTGCCTTTTCCAAGAACCTTGTGAAATGTGAAATTCTCCACTGATACACGGCTGCTGATACTGGGCCCTCTCGCAGGCTGAGGACTGCTACCCTCCCAAAGCTTATCATACTGGTTGTCTGCTGAGTGGAATATGATAATTACATTGAAATGAAGGTGAAACATTTTGGGTCCCTGCCACTGAAAGGATCTTTTCACATCAGTATGCTACCAACAAAATACACTTGCCTGTTGAATCCAAACCTTTTGCACCTGGAGCAGTTGGCGTTACACCTTGGTAAATGCCAAAGCTATCCAAAGATGAATCTGATTTCCTGCTTGACTTCTAAAATAGAAAGAATTTCATATGTATCAGTAGATCATTATAACAAATTGGTTACTTAAAGTGATATTAAAAGACATGTTTTAAAAAACAAAAACCAACATGTCTTATTCACCTGCTTTGTGCAGTGGTTTTGCACTGAGCAGTTCAATCCTCTTCTTCTTGGGTCTCCTGCTGGTGTTCCTGGCCCCTCCCTCTTACCAAGAGCCCCCAGAGCAAGCAGCTTGCTATGGGGTCACCCAAGCAGGCTTGCTCCTGAGCCACAGCTCTGTGTCCATTCAAACACAGAGCAGCGACTTGGCCTTGCCCCTCCTCTCTACTCATTGGCTCGCTGGCTGTGATTGTCTCAGCCAATGAGAAGGGAGAGTCCCCAGAGAGCTGAGGCTCTTTTGCACATGACTGGATCAAAATGGAGCTCAGGTAAGTATTAGGGGGCTGGTGCTCAAGAAGAATTTTTAACTTCATGCACAGAATGCATGAAGATAAAAAAACTTGAGCCTTTACAACCACTTTAATTCTCAAAAAGTATTTAAAATATATTTAAAACGCAAAACTTTTGGATAGATTGGAGCGCAATTAGAACAATAAGAATAAAATTAGATTTTATCGCAGCCAGTGTCCCCGTTAGGGAGAACCACCCTATTTGTTCTCTTTACCATTATCACTGAAAGAACAAAAGTTTTGGGTTGTCAACAGAAAGAAATAGAGAGGGCATCTTCTAATGGGAGCACTAGTTCTAGTAAGAACCAGGGATTCATTCACTTTGGGGATTTCCTTTCCCTTCCTGTCTTGACCATGGGACAAGAAGTGAGAGTAAATCACATTAATAGGATGTAGATAGCCGTGGTTATAACCCTCCCACACTCTACCAAGATTAAAATCCTTTAGTTCTACTCCAGTATTCAATATGCTTTAGTTTTACTCTGTAACAACTGAAACCTCCAACTATCATTCACTGGCTCTTGACAGACCCGTCATGGAAGAACAGAAGGTCTTGTGGACACAAATTTCATACAAGGAAGAGTTTGTTCCTTTAGCAAGCGATCAGCTGCTGTCAGCACCACAATAAAATGATCTCATTGGTTTCTACAAGCAAGAAACAGTAGTTCAGCTGTGGAAGACTTTTCGTACATTCTGCGCATGGCATTTCAGAGGGTACTGAAATATGTGGCCTACTTTTGAATTCGTGATGTGAAAATGCTCCATAAATGCCGGCCTGACCATTAACACTTGATTGATAGTTGTGAGAGGTTTCGGGAGATCCTTTGTGTACCTCCACATTAAACTCATGTGATTTTTCGTATAAACTTGTATAAAGCAGCGAGCTCCTGTTGGATTCAGCTTTTGATAAGAATCAGAATTGATCTTTTCCAAAATCGCTAAGCCAGTACCTAGCTAGCCAGAGGACTTCAGTTTGATTCATAGTATGACAGGGACAGCAAAGAGGAGTGGGATGGAAAGAGACAGAGAGAAATAAAGAGAATAGAAAGTGAGAAAAAAGAAAATTATTCACTAAGATCTATTGCAACCTTGGTGTTCTTTAACATAACTTTTTATTCAAGTAAGTGGATCAAAGATTATCTGTAGCTCTGCTTGGGCAAAGGGGGTAATATGCAACAGCATAACGTCTGGGATTTTTTTTGTACTAAAGTAGGATAGGGAGACATTCCCAGAAAATATATACCGTATTTGCCGGCGTATAAGACGACTGGGCGTATAAAACGACCCCCTACTTTTACTGCTAAAATGTAGTGTTTGGGCTATACTCGCCGTATAAGACTACCCCTCTTCCAATGCACACCAGTGGGAAGAATAGTGCCCCATCATTGGTATCAGTGGCAGGAATAGTGCCCCATCATTGGTATCAGTGGCAGGAATAGTGCCCCATCATTGGCATCAGTGGCAGGAATAGTGCCCCATCATTAGTATCAGTGGGGGGAATAGTGCCCCATCATTGGTATCTTGGGGAGGAATAGTGCCCCATCATTGGTATCAGTGGGAGGAATAGTGCCCGATCATTAGTATCAGTGGGTGGAATAGTGCCCCACCATTGGTATCAGTGGCAGGAATAGTGCCCCATCATTAGTATCAGTGGCAGGAATAGTGCCCCATCATTGGTATCAGTGGCAGGAATAGTGCCCCATCATTGGCATTAGTGGCAGGAATAGTGCCCCATCATTAGTATCAGTGGGGGGAATAGTGCCCCATCATTAGTATCAGTGGGAGGAATAGTGCCCCATCATGGGTATCAGTGGCAGGAATAGAGCCCCATCATTGGTATCAGTGGGAGGAATAGTGCCTCATCATTAGTATCAGTGGGAGGAATAGTGCCCCATCATTGGTATCAGTGGCAGGAAAAGTGCCCCATCATTAGTATCAGTGGGAGGAATAGTGCCCCATCATTGGTATCAGTGGCAGGAATAGTGCCCCATCATTGGTATCAGTGGCAGGAATAGTGCCCCATCATTGGCATCAGTGGCAGGAATAGTGCCCCATCATTAGTATCAGTGGGGGGAATAGTGCCCCATCATTGGTATCTTGGGGAGGAATAGTGCCCCATCATTGGTATCAGTGGGAGGAATAGTGCCCGATCATTAGTATCAGTGGGTGGAATAGTGCCCCACCATTGGTATCAGTGGCAGGAATAGTGCCCCATCATTAGTATCAGTGGCAGGAATAGTGCCCCATCATTGGTATCAGTGGCAGGAATAGTGCCCCATCATTGGCATTAGTGGCAGGAATAGTGCCCCATCATTAGTATCAGTGGGGGGAATAGTGCCCCATCATTAGTATCAGTGGGAGGAATAGTGCCCCATCATGGGTATCAGTGGCAGGAATAGAGCCCCATCATTGGTATCAGTGGGAGGAATAGTGCCTCATCATTAGTATCAGTGGGAGGAATAGTGCCCCATCATTGGTATCAGTGGCAGGAAAAGTGCCCCATCATTAGTATCAGTGGGAGGAATAGTGCCCCATCATTGGTATCAGTGGCAGGAATAGTGCCCCATCATTGGTATCAGTGGCAGGAATAGTGCCCCATCATTAGTATCAGTGGGCGGAATAGTGCCCGATTATTGGTATCAGTGGCAGAAATAGTGCCCCATCATTGGTGTCAGTGGGAGGAATAGTGTCCCATCATTAGTATCAGTGGAAGGAATAGTGCCCCATCATTGGTATCAGTGGCAGGAATAGTGCCCCATCATTGGTATCAGTGGCAGGAATAGTGCCCCATCATTGGCATTAGTGGCAGGAATAGTGCCCCATCATTAGTATCAGTGGGGGGAATAGTGCCCCATCATTAGTATCAGTGGGAGGAATAGTGCCCTATCATTGGTATCAGTGGCAGGAATAGAGCCCCATCATTGGTATCAGTGGGAGGAATAGTGCCCCATCATTGGTATCAGTGGCAGGAATAGTGCCCCATCATTAGTATCAGTGGGGGGAATAGTGCCCCATCATTGGTGTCAGTGGGAGGAATAGTGTCCCAACATTGGTGTCAGTGGTAGGAATGGTGTCCCATCATTGGTGTCAGTGGGGGGTGGAATAGTGCCCCATCATTGGTGTCAGTGGGGGGTGGAATAGTGCCCCATCATTGGTGTCAGTGGGTGGTGGAATAGTGCCCCATCATTGGTGTCAGTGGGGGGTGGAATAGTGCCCCATCATTGGTGTCAGTGGGGGGGAATAGTGCCCCATCATTGGTGTCAGTGGGGGGGGGGGAATAGTGCCCCATCATTGGTGTCAGTGGGGGGGGGAATAGTGCCCCATCATTGGTGTCAGTGGGGGGGAGGAATAGTGCCCCATAGTTGGTGTCAGTGGGAGGAATAGTGCTCCATCATTGGTATCAGTGGAAGGAATAGTGTCCCATCATTGGTGTCAGTGGGAGGAATAGTGCCCCATCATTGGTGTCAGTGGGAGGAACAGTGCTCCATCATTGGTATCAGTGACACCAATGATGGGGCACTATTCCTCCCACTGACACTTGCTGACCCTGTTCTCGTATGGTGCTGCTGCAGCCAGCATATGTGGTTGCAGCAGCACCTCTACACTGAACACTTACCTGCTGGTCCTGCACTCGATTTTCGCGGGGCCGCTCGGCTCCGCCCCCTTGCCGGTGATTGGCCACCTGTGTGCCTTTCGTGAGCTACAGTTCTGGCGGCCAATCACCGGTGAGGAGGCGGAGCCGAGCAGCCGCGTGAACATCCAGTGGCCGAACTGAAGGAGCAGCCGCGCTTCCTGTACCGGATCGTCGTGGGACCGGAGCCAGGTAAGAAACAGCCCCTGCCCACCCCTGTACTTAGTGTCCCTTCCGTTGGAAGGGGGGGGGCGGCGGGGGCACCGCGCCGCCCCCCTAAAAAGTGTCAGTATGCCGTATACCAACGTATAAGACGACCCCCGACTTTTGAGAAGATTTTCAAGGGGTAAAAAGTCGTCTTATACGCCGGCAAATACGGTAATAGGGTGTCTTTATCGGATTTACAAAATATCTTACTTCGGGAAGGTTTTGCTCAGTACGTAATAATCAATTCCTTGCTACTTGTTACTGATGTATGCCCTGTGTGCAAAATGAACACATTTTATATTTCTGTTCTTGGGTTAAAAGCTGAACTTCAGGGTTAAAAGCCTTTACCCTTACAATTGCTCCCCCACCCTGCAAATGGCTAACTGCTTGTTTTGCCTAGGTGATTATGAATAAGGTGATATAGTTACCTTATTCCTTGTTCCCCTGACAGCTGGCGTTCTGCTTCATTGTGTTAAACTCCAACTTGTAGGCAGGCTCTCTGAATCCTCTGAGGATATCAGAGAGCTGAAACTGGTTGCACAGCAAAGGAAGTGGCTTTGGGGGGACCGGTCACACAAAGAGAAGGAAGTCTTCGGCAGCAAGGAATAAGGTAAGCATATCACCTTACTAACCCTCCAGGCAAAATGAACAGGTAACACTTCTGGTGGTGAGGGAGAGCCACTGTGAGGGGTAAAGGTTTCTTCCCCCATCCCAAGAGTTCAGCTTTCAGGTTAAGTTATCTCTCCCTTGTTTAAATGTAGGAGTGCCTTGCAGTTTAAGATGTTCTATAGCAGCGGTTCTCAACCTGGGGGTCGCGACCCCTTTGGGGGTCGAACGACCATTTCCCAGGGGTCGCCTAAGACCATCGGAAAACACATATTTCCGATGGTCTTAGGAACCGAGACACCGCTGCAGTCTCCGGCGATGTGTGGGCGGGATGATACTCTGCTGTCACCTGGCCACACCTCCGGGATCGCTCAGCAGCTCCGCCTCCTCGCCGCTGATTGGCCACCGGAACTGTAGCTCAGGAGAGGCACACAGGCGGCCAATCACCGGCGAGGAGGTGGAGCTTGGAGAGGAGGAGCCGAGCGGCAGCGCGCGTACATCAAAGAAGACCGAGGGAGTTGCCGGAGCGAGTGAAGAGGAGAGCGGCCAGAGAAGGAAGACAGCTGACAGGTAAGTGAGAGAGCGAGCCCAGGCTGGAGCAGGGGTCAGCAAAGTAAGTATCATTGGTGTCAGTGGGAGGAATAGTGCCCCATCATTTGTGTCACTAATACCAACGATGGGGCACTATTCCTCCCCCCACTGACACCAACGATGGGGCACTATTCCTCCCCCCACTGACACCAACGATGGGGCACTATTCCTCCCCCCACTGACACCAACGATGGGGCACTATTCCTCCCCCCACTGACACCAACGATGGGGCACTATTCCTCCCCCCACCCAACGATGGGGCACTATTCCTCCCCCAACTGACACCAACGATGGGGCACTATTCCTCCCCCCACTGACACCAACGATGGGGCACTATTCCTCCCCCCACTGACACCAACGATGTGGCACTATTCCTCCCCCACTGACACCAACGATGTGGCACTATTCCTCCCCCCACTGACACCAACGATGTGGCACTATTCCTCCCCCCACTGACACCAACGATGGGGCACTATTCCTCCCCCCACTGACACCAACGATGGGGCACTATTCCTCCCCCCACTGACACCAACGATGGGGCACTATTCCTCCCCCCACTGACACCAACGATGGGGCACTATTCCTCCCCCCACTGACACCAACGATGGGGCACTATTCCTCCCCCCACTGACACCAACGATGGGCACTATTCCACCCCCCCACTGACACCAATGGGGCACTATTTCCCCCCCCCCCCCACTGACACCAACGATGGGGCACTATTCTCCCCTCCACCACACTGACATCAATGATGGGGCACTATTCCTCCCACTGACACCAATGATGGGGCACTATTCCTCCCACTGACACCAATGATGGGGCACTATTCCTCCCACTGACACCAATGATGGGGCACTATTCCTCCCACTGACACCAATGATGGGGCACTATTCCTCCCACTGACACCAATGATGTGGCACTATTCCTCCCACTGACACCAGTGATGGGGCACTACTCCCCCCACTGACACCAGTGATGGGGCATTATTCCTCCCACTGACACCAATGATGGGGCACTACTCCCCCCACTGACACCAATGATGGGGCACTACTCCCCCCACTGACACCAATGATGGGGCACTACTCCCCCCACTGACACCAATGATGGGGCACTATTCCTCCCACTGACACCAGTGATGGAGCACTACTCCTCCCACTGACACCAGTGTTGGGGCACTACTCCCCCCACTGACACCAATGATGGGGCACTACTCCCCCCACTGACACCAATGATGGGGCACTACTCCCCCCACTGACACCAATGATGGGGCACTACTCCCCCCACTGACACCAATGATGGGGCACTACTCCCCCCACTGACACCAATGATGGGGCACTACTCCCCCCACTGACACCAATGATGGGGCACTACTCCTCCCACTGACACCAATGATGGGGCACTACTCCTCCCACTGACACCAATGATGGGGCACTACTCCTCCCACTGACACCAATGATGGGGCACTATTCCTCCCACTGACACCAATGATGAGGCACTATTCCTCCCACTGACACCAGTGATGGAGCACTACTCCTCCCACTGACACCAGTGATGGGGCACTACTCCCCCCACTGACACCAGTGATGGAGCACTACTCCCCCCACTGACACCAACGATGGGGCACTATTCCTCCCACTGACTCCAACGATGGGGCACTATTCCTCCCACTGACTCCAACAATGGGGCACTATTCCTCCCACTGATACCAACGATGGGGCACTATTCCTCCCACTGATACCAACGATGGGGCACTATTCCTCCCACTGACACCAACGATGGGGCACTATTCCTCCCACTGACACCAACGATGGGGCACTATTCCTCCCACTGACACCAACGATGGGGCACTATTCCTCCCACTGACACCAACGATGGGGACACCAACGATGGGGCACTATTTCTCCCACTGACACCAACGATGGGGCACTATTCCTCCCACTGACACCAACGATGGGGCACTATTCCTCCCACTGACACCAGTGATGGGGCACTATTCATCCCACTGACATCAGTGATGGGGCACTATTCCTCCCACTGATACCAACAATGGGGCACTATTCATCCCACTGACATCAGTGATGGGGCACTACTCCTTCCACTGACACCAATGACATGGCACTACTCCTCCCACTGCAAAATTACAGTTATGAAGTAGCAATGAAAATAATTTTATGGTTGGGGGTCACCGCAACATGAGGAACTGTATTAAGGGGTCGCGGCATTAGAAAGGTTGAGAACCACTGTTCTATAGGATATAAAAAGAGATTTGTTTTTTGCATTTGGAGTTCAATTACAATTTGTTTTCCTTTGTTTTCTTGGGTTATATAAACTAATGGTTTGCACTTCACATCAATATAGATCTTTGTTTCAAATCAGCAAGCATATTTTTGTTGTTACTTAACACTGGAGCACATGGTTATTTTTAATATGTGAACTATGCTTACCATGCTGACTTGATTCAGAGCCTCTGCTAGAAGTTTCTGGTTGATGCCACACAAATTGGCCACTTTGGTCTGACACTTGTGATGAACATTCATAGCACATTCTATGAAATTAATGATACATTATTACTAAATGAAGCAGAGAGAAATATCACTACTGTTTAATAACACAACCTGTGAAATAAGCAGAACCTTTGGAGCTAGAAAAAGATTAATGTTTCCATCATAAAATGAGGGGAAACTGAATTAGTGTACCCAAATTGGTCCATACTTGTTAAGACTTATTTTAATACTGATTTAAACAGGGAGACTCCAGCCGTTTGCATGCTGTTTCATGGATAATAGGAAGCATAAATTGCTCTTGTATATCAAGGTAAGCATCAGGCAAGTACCGCAAGGGATCCTGGTGCTTGACCTATTCTGCTTGTAAGAAGATGGACAGATATTTAGCAGTCATTTTTGGAAAGATATTTGCCCAGCTATGACCACCTTATAGTACAATCACTGTAAGGCAGTTCTGGGAAGCAAGTGCAACATGCTTACAGTATGTAATGTGCAAATAAGACAATCTATATGTACATGTATAATTACAAACTGTATCACATATATATTTTAATGCACATTATAATTACCGTATTTTCCGGGGTATAAGACGGCTTTTTGACCCTTGAAAATCTTCTCAAAAGTCGGGGGTCGTCTTATACGCTGGTATACGGCATGCTGACACCTTTTAGGGGGGCGGTGCGGTGCCGCCGCCGCCCCCCCCCTTCCAACGGAAGTGAAACTAAGTACAGGGGTGGGCAGGGGCTTCTGTTTCTTACCTGGCTCCGGTCCCACGACGATCCGGTCCAGGAAGCGCAGCTGCTCCTTCCTTCAGTTCGGCCACTGGATGTTCGTGCGGCTGCTCGGCTCCGCCTCCTCACCGGTGATTGGCCGCCAGAACTGTAGCTCAGGAAAGGCACACAGGCGGCCAATCACCGGGGAGGAGGCGGAGCCGAGCGGCCCCCGCGAAAATCAAGTGAAGGTAAGTGTGCCGTGCACAGGTGCTGCTGCAACCATATATGCTTGCTGCAGCAGCACCATACTGAACAGGGGTCAGCAAGTGTCAGTGGGAGGAATAGTGCCCCATCATTGGTGTCACTGATAGCAATGATGGGGCATTATTCCTCCCACTGACACTGACGATGGGGCACTTTCCCCCCCCCCCCCCCACTGACACCAACGATGGGACACTATTCCCCCCCCCACTGACACCAATGATGGGACACTATTCCTCCCACTGACACCAATGATGGGGTACGATTCCTCACACTGACACCAATGATGGGGCACTATTCCTCCCACTGACACCAATGATGGGGCGCTATTCCTCCCACTGACACCAATGATGGGGTGCTATTTCTCCCACTGACACCAATGATGGGACACTATTCCTTCCACTGACACCAATGATGGGGTGCTATTCCTCCCACTGACACCAATGATGGGGTGCTATTCCTCCCACTAACACCAATGACTGGGCACTATTCCTCCCACTGATACAATGATGGGGCATGATTCTTCCCACTGGTGTGCATTGGAAGAGGGGTAGTCTTATACGGCGAGTATAGCCCAAACACTACATTTTAACAGGAAAAGTAGGGGGGGTCGTCTTATACGCCAGGTCTTATACGCCGGTAAATAAATAAATTAAGCGACTAGGGCGCGTGGCTTGGCGCATGGAGCTGTAAGACGTGTTCCTTAGCAGCTCCCGGTCCCGCACTGCTCTCGCAGGGATACTCACCCTCTCCTCCTATCCTCCAACCTCACATATGGGCAGGAACCAGCACCGGAGCCCCAGGAATTCCGGTGGGGGCCGCTCGAGGCAACTTGGGCAGTTTTTCTACCTTAAAATGTTTTTCCTGAAATTCTTTAGGGAAGACCAGGTTAATTCAGAAGGATAAACTGCTGCCTACAGGAAACTGAACACTAGCAAACAAAACAGTCAGCCAGATATGATCCTTCCCACTTCCATCATACTCCATGTTTGGGGACTTTTGAGGAAGCTTAGACTGGTAGCCTTAGAAAAGTCAGACAGGGGTTGCCCTAGCTCTAGACGGGCACACACTGGGGTTGATTTACTAAAACTGGAGAGTGCAAAACCTGGTGCAGCTGTGCATGGTAGCCAGTTTCTAACTTTATCTTGTTCAATTAAGCTTTGACAAAAAAAAAAAAAAAAAAAAAACCTGAAAGCTGATTGGTTTCTGTGCAGAGCTGCACCAGATTTTGCATTCTGCAGTTTTAGTAATCAACACCATTGTATCAAAGACCAAAACAGTATCCTTTAAATAGCAGTAATGTCAGCAGATGGAGGCTCCTTCAGACACAAACTCAGTCAAAAAGGACAGGTTATAATCTTCCTTATGAATGCAATGATGCAGCTGCAGTGATCGACTCTGAAAGAAATATTAAAACCACTTGTGTCCCCTGCATTCCAAGTTAACTGCCATAGATGCAAATTTTTTCCTGCAAAAAGGTACTCTCAGATCAACTGGAGGAGCAGTGGAGGATATTTGGCTGTATGTAACCCTGCAATGCAGCATGGAGCCTGTGTCCAGGGAGAATTGTGGCAGCTTAGGACAGGGCACGAAGGCAAATGCACATGCATGCACAGTGAGGCCACAAAGGAAGGTCCTGTGCAACTCGGCAGAATGTGGACTGGGCGCTAATTTAACCTCTTCAATACCAGGCACCTTTACCCCCTTCCTGCCCAGGTAATTTTTCAGGTTTCAGCGCTCTCACACTTTGAATGACAACTGCGCAGACGTTCAACATTGTACCCAAACTAAAATTTTATCATTTTCTTCACACAACTAGAGCTTTCTTTTGGTGGTATTAAATCACTACTGGGGTTTTTATTTTTTTCCAAATTAACAAAAAAAGACCGAAAAGTTTGAAAAAAAGCCCATGTTTTTCTTTGTTTCTGTTATAAAAGTTTGCAAATGAAATAAATAAATAATTGTTCTTCATAAATTTAGGCCAAGATGTATTCTGCTACATGTCTTTGGTGAAAATAACCCAAATTAGGATGTATTATTTAGTTTGTAGGAAAGTTTTAGAGTTCACAAACTATGGGATATATCTGAATATTGATCAATCCTGAAGTTGACAGCCAATCTAATTTCTTGAGGTCCAAAAATGTCAGAACAGTACAGATAGCCCCCAAATGACCCCTTTTTACAAAGTAGACAGTCTGACGTACTTCATAAGAGGCATGGCAAGCTTTTTGACGTTGTATTTTTTGTCATAATTTTTCGGAAAATGAAAAAATTAAAAACATTATTTTCACTATTTTTGTTTTTTTACATACTGTCACCAGTGCAGTACAGCGTCATCATATAACTGGCATGGCGGTGATCAGGGACACTGACTGGTGAGAGTATTAAAAAATATATATATAATTTTTTAAAAATTTATTTTTAATTTTTTATTACATTTTTTTTTTTTTAAGATTTTTTTTCATATTTCACTATGACCAAAGTAGTACAATGTTACCATAGTAACATTGTACTACTTTGGGGAAGTGATCAGTATTTTTTTTTTTTTTTTTTTACACAATTTGCTTATAGCAAAGAATTACTTTGCTATAAGCAAGCATTTACCTGAATGACATCGATTCATTCAGGTTTTTTTTTTTTTTTTTTTGTGCTTAGCTGCGATTTGGCCACGGCTAATCACATGACACAGCTGGGCTGTGATTGGCCCAGCTTGTGCATGTGATTGCTGTGACCATTCACAGCTAGACACACTAGTATACAATGGATGGCATGAATGAAGCCATCCATTGTATACAACGGTCATGTGACCTGCTGTGATTGGTCACAGCAGGTCACATGGTACCGGCAATGGGGCCGGTACTCAGATCTGTCATAGGCCGTGTCCGAGGTACACGGCCAGTGACAGATCACGCCGCTGTGTGGCTCTGCAGGCGTGCAAACTGCGCATGCCCGAAAGGACGCCATATGGCGTCCACCCAGAATGGTGAGGGTTTTTGCCGGCCAATATTCGGCCGTAGGCCGGGAGGGAAATGGTTAAAAATGTCTGCTCAGACTCAGAAAAGAGGGCACCGGGCACCAACTATATTGTTATTATGTAACTACCCGATGTCTTCTTAAATAAACAATCTACAGAAAAGATGGTGCAGCACTCTGTTCCTGCCACTAGCCTGCAATCGTAAAAGTGCTGCAGTTGGTGTTCATCCTGGTGGGGGCATTACTACAGCAATAGTGCCAAGCATGCACCCTTTAAGGGCAAAGCCTTTAACTTACTATAGTGGTGTTCTGAAGATGCCCTGTGACCCCTATAATGCAGACAAGCTGGAGAGTGCCAAGCAGGATCCAGGGGAATTTACCTTATCCAGACTGTCTTATTTCTTCCAGTGGACATTCTCCCCAAGGTGACTTAAGAGACAGGGTTCTACGAGCGGGTGTACCGCAACATTGGAGCTGTAAAGTGCTCTGCAGTTAATTTGTATGGTACACCAGGTGCCTACAACAATGCCCTGTACCTTAGGGTCTCATTACAGGCCTGCCTCACATCAGCATGAGCTTTCAAGGCTATGCCGAGGATCAGCTGATCCAGAAAACTGCATAAAATGCACTCTTTGACTCTACAGTAAATAAAATCCTAATTGTAGAATAAGATGATTTTGATAGAAATAGAAGTTTTGTAGAAAGTGTTTTAATTCCCTCAGGGAGATATGTACATTATCCTAAAATAACAGCAAAAACCTGGAGCATGATGGGAGTGGGAGGGGTTATACCTGGCTGACAAACAGCTTTGTTTGCTAGTGTAAAGTCTCCTTCAGGCATCTGTTTAATCCTCTTGTATCAGAATTAACCCAGTGTCCCCTAATGAGTGATTAAAAAAGATGTTTGTAACCATTGCTGACTTATTTCTTATGTCCTGGGGTCAATCCTTCAAGCTCATCTTTTGCTTTAGTGCATAGAAATAATGACTTAATAATAATAATGTGCATTGGACATGCCTATTCCAAGTCTGTGACTCACCACTCATTTTAAAGTGGGACAGTCTTGTTAAATGTTCACAGCTTTAAAGAAAAATAAAAACGGAAAATGAAATGCTATATTTATGAGACATGCATTTCCCCACCTCTGTTACTGAGAAGGCTGCTGATGCACAAAATAGATTCCTAAACTCCTAAACCAGACAGGAAATATAATTTGCCATCTGTGCTTCAGGATCATTATGAGAGGCTTTTTGTGGCTTTACCTGCCCCCTCCATTGATGTATATGACATACTGAGATGGAGATGGGGCTTCAATTTCTTTTTATGCTATTCCACATATTTGAGACTGTCAAAAGGCAAGGAGCTGCTATAAACAGAAGGCTTTTGATTTTCAGAAACTATATTGGAATTGTCTGGTTAGATCCAACAAAACTAGGACAAGTTCTTTTTTACATGTTAATATGGTGAGGAATATTAAAAAGCTAATGTGGGGTGAATGCTGTAAGCACCCTGTCCTAAAAGGGGTCTATATTTAATCTTGCTGGTTGGTAGTTTGTCTATAGTCTATTTACTGTATTCATCTGGTTGTCCCCTAAACTCAGTGTAGCTGTGGTATCTCTCTGCTGCTGGTAGAGGTCACTGGTAATAATGACAATAGATAGTGTGGTATCAATATTTATGCTTCCTCTAGCCAACCAGTGGGAGGTTTACTGCCATTGGTGCATACTGGGGGAGAGCATAGATATATGGGCCGAGAATGCCAGTTATCCCTTTCCCCCCTGAGCTGCAGTCTGCAGAGGGTGCATGTCAAGCAATTGGGAAGGCCTTTGCATGTGGTTGCAGCAAATGCCTGGAAGTAGTACAACCTTCCTGTCCAGTATTGTCCTGCTGCTTGGGGCCCTGAGCTCCTCTCAGAGAAGGATGTGGAAGGAGATACAATGCCCCTTTCCATGTGATGTCTGTGAAGAATAAAAGTCCTTTAAAAAGCCCTTAAAGTGACTGGAACCCAAGTGTTACACATCCCCACCTTTCAGCCATGGACTCAGCCCTGTGAAAATGCTAGCTCATCCTGTCTCTGGGGATACCCCACCTGCCTCCAGGGATCAGTTGAGATTCACTAGCATTCTAATCTATAGGTAAAAATGCAGAAGCAGCCTTTATGGTGGACACTGAGAATCTACAGGAAACAGTATTTCACTCATATAAAAACAGTAACTGCAAGGTAAATGGTATGAAGTCAGACATTTGCGTAATCAGAGGATGGTCACATCTCCCATAAATAAATAATTAAATCTGACATTTGTTTACACTCACCATCACATTTCAACCCCTGCTTCACCAAACCCCAGAGCAAACTGCCACAGTGATCACAGAAAGTGGGGCTTTTGTAATTGTAGGTCTTGAATCGGTGGGGCATGTCAATGTTAAACCGCTCCTTCTGGAACTGTAAATGAAAAGTACCAATAAATGTCACAAAGCAAACATATAGATCTGTTAAACACGAAGCACTTGCTTATACTTGCTTCAAATATGGCATTGGACAGAATTTTTTAAAGCACTCTAAATGCCAATCAAAGAACCAGTCACAAAATAAAATGGCAAGCTTATTGTCCTTTTCACACATTGTGTTTGCTTTGCCTCAAAAATCATACGCCATTCTTGATGCTTTAAAAGCACCTCCAAAGCCTCAATAGAAGTCTATGACAATGCTTGCTAACAGGACCTGCAGCTTTTGAGAGGCTTTTATTAAGTTTTAGTTTTGCTTTGTTTTGAAGGTATTGCAGGTAAGAGGTTTCAGGAAACCAACCAGCACATGTGCAACATGGGAACGATATAGTAGAAGGTGAGTGGGTATTGGACAGAGAGGACCGAGAGGCAGAGCTGGGGACTGGGCAGGAGACACTAGCAGATGTCATATGTGGTAAGCAGTGTGGGGGGAGAGAGGGGGAGAGAGAGAGATCAGCAAACCAGAGGATCAGCAGAGCTGATTTCTTCCTTTACTGAACCAAAAAAGTTTGCATAAAAAGGGTATCCGCCTCCTTTTTCAGCAAATTGGCGACACATTGTTTACAAAGCAGCTCTGTGTACTCTTCGTTCAGCACTTGGCGGACCGCTTTTTGGAAATGGGCTTGGGATCTTTAAGTGGCTTAGCTTGCCAAAGACATAAACACAGGAGACCTGGTGGTAAATATACACCTTCTCCACCATGTAGTGATCACCCCATGATCAAACACTGCACTCCTGTTGTGCCTCAGACTGCTAGGCAACATCACCACCCAGAATGGTGTTCCAAAATTTAGACATTGCAGTCGCCCCCAGGTGCCTACCTTTGTCCCACTAGTAGTTGTTTCCCTTGGAGCCTGTGCGGATGGCAAGTCCTCAAAGTCGCTCCCCTGCATCATTGGGCTGTGTGGCACTTGCACTAGCACCTGCATCCACGTGTAGTACCAACTGGCCCTCCCTTCCTCCCTGCGCCATTGAGGGGTTGAGACCAATTCCCTTCAGCACATCATCTCACCCTATAAGTGACGCGCCAGTGGAGCCACCAAGGAAATGTACCCATCGCCGCCTCTCGTCCTAGCCTGGGCTCAGAGGGAGGGGGAGGGGATCACCTCCTGCCCGCTGCCAAGGAGGGATCACCATGGCCCGTCCGACCTCCACCACCAAAAACATCTGGTAAGATACTGCTGACCCCCTGGCTTGGAGTTTCTCATCCCCTTACTAGGTCTCCCCGCAGGAAAGCCCTTGAGGGATGAAGCTCTCCGGCGATCCCTCGGACAACATGTCCCCTCCAGAGAAAACACAATAACTGGTCATGGGACCGTCTTAAAAAAGACTGAAGGGACAACGTATTTCCTGTACAGGAGGAGCTCCATCTCTCAAGGGCTGGCCTGGAAGATGAATGGTAAAAAAACATGTTATTTTTTATAATAATATTAGGGAGGACTGGATGGATCATGCTTATTTTTTTATTTCTAACACATGTATTCTTGAAACCTTTTGTGAACCTTTCTATTCTCTAAAAATGTTAACAGTGGTACATTTCAGTATATTACGATCCATCCCATAGTCTATTTCAAATTCGTTCTTCCTTTTTTTTCCAAGATATGCAGTCTACATAGAACTAATCAAACTTTCTTTGTTAAAGCCTAAAACTAACCAGCTTTCTCCTTCTCTAACCCTTGATATTGGGTGCTGGTATATGCAGAGAACAAAAGCACATGACCATTACAGGAGAGGTAAAGGGGTCATTCACATGTTGGCTGTAAATTACACCCTGGCTTCACCATTTCTACATTGTGCAAGAGGCAAGATGGCAGCAAGCAGTGAATCCATGGGGAAAAGTGTCTTTCCTCACCAATTATGCACCAGTTTGTGTTGTTAATAAAATTACCAGCAATGTTCAGTGGGGGAGCTACATCTTTCTGATCCAGCTAGCGAGGGAGCCACTCCATAAAAAAAAGGCGAGGGCCTGTTAGTGATCCGGTTACTGGCAAGTTGTCACCAGTTGCAATGTCACTCGTGTGACAACTGCATAAGTATGTAAATAGAAAACATTTAATGCAGAGTTACACTATCATTTTTTTCCCCCAATGGGTTACTCCAGGTGGAGTCTCATTCATTTTAGCTGCATATTCATGTAGCTAAATTGCTTTAAACTTGTTTTGAATTAAAAGAATTCAATGGTTTATTACCACATGAAAAAAAGATGAGATCAAATATTTTTAGTGTAAATTACTCACCATGATGTCAAAGAAACACACACCTTGAAGCACTGAGCACGTGATACAAAATGAACATGAACACAATTCCCTCAGAAGTATTTAAATTTTCATTTACAACCAGATCAGTTTTTGCTGAATGCACATGCATGGAACGCAATTAATTTATGGTGTAGTAATAGTAAAATTAGAAATTCTTATCTGCTCTAGGTCAAGAGATAGAATAAGTAGAAAAGAGGTAGAAAAAGAAGACAACTCACCATGGTGTCCCGGCTGTTGGTCGCTGTGCCTGTACACCTGCCAATGATTTTGTCAATGCATTTTTTATGTATGGCAGCATTGCACTCTGTAAGCAACAAAAACAATTTGTGCCCATTACAAGAGATGACTGGTTACAGACTGCAGAGTACAGGAGTGATTGCAACAGAGAGAAAGAAAACTTATACATAATGGAAACAAAGCGAAGTAAAACAAGGTGAAAAAAGACCAAAGTGATATAGAGAGGAACGTAAATGATCTCTCTTTAAATTGAAGGGCAACAAAGACAGATAAAATAGAACTAAATCAGACTAATGGAGATATCTACACAAATGTTCTCTGATATCCATCATAATAAGAATAACTTTAATAGATTTTGTAAAAACAATATAGATACTAAAACTGACTACAGGAAGCAAACAGCTAACAATGTCTCAATCAATAAACACACTCATCTACAACAGGGTCTATTTACGTGCTCAGAAAATATCCATAACCCCAGATGGATTTTGGAGTAACCAAGTGTCTACTGGCAATAAAATTCCAATGTAAAAATAACATCAAAATCTGTGCTGGTTCAAAAAGAACACTAGCTGCCTACTCTAAATTCTGATACAAAGAATTGTAAGACATATAAATAGAAATGTGTGTGCTAAAAGTGCAAAAAACAATCTGATATAATTGACTAAACATAAGTGGAACCAATAAAGTGACAACACTTGCAAATAAAGTAATACAGTTGTGTCCAAATTATTCAACCCCCAATGCTGTAAAGGGGTTTTTTTTAGGGACTATAGTGTAGCATTTGGAATTGTATTCAGAATCAAATCCTACAAGGACGTTGTAACTACCCAAAATGCAACTAAAATGACATCAATTGTTTATGTAATACAGTAGTAAATGGTTCTTATGTGGTTTCTTTCATTGCCACAATTATTTCAACCCCTTAAAGACTACCACTCTGAAAAGAACAGAGGTTCATACAGGTGCTTTCCATCAGGTATTGAAAACACCTGTGGATGTCACCGAGCAGCAATCAAGCATAATAAGCACCAATTAGGCAGCTTTAAAATGACTGTGCTACTCAGCTCCTTCTAGACATTTTACTGGTGTGGTTACAAACATGGTGAAGGCAAGAGAATGGTCCAGGAAGAACAAGACGAAGAGGTGATTTTCTTCACAGGAAGGGCAATGCTATAAGAAGATTGCAAAGATGTTAAACCATACCAAGAGACACCCTTAGGAAGCATCATTCGCAAATTCAAGGCAAAGGGCACTGTTGAAACGTTACCTGGTCGTGGCGAAAGAAGATGCTGACTTCGACTGCTGTGCGCTACCTGCAAGCGTAGAGTGGGAGAGAAGTCCCCGTGTGACTGTGCTTGAGGAACTGAGAAAAGATTTGTCAGATGTGGGTACAGAAGTTTCAGCCCAGACAATAAGACGCACACTGCGTTATGAAGGCTCCGTGCCAGAACTCCCAGGCGTACTCCCCCCTTGCTGTCTCCAAAGAATAAGACGAGATCGACTGCAGTAAAATGCCAACAGCCATGTGGACAAAACACACAAAAGTTTGAGGGATACGGTAGTTCTGTGGACTGATGAAACAAATTAGAACTGTTAGCGACCCATGGATCAACGCTAATGTTTTGGGAGGAGGAAGAACAAGGTCTAATGATTGAAAATGAACACCCCTTGCCTACTGTCGACGCGATGGTGAGAGGGTCATTCATGCTATTGGGGCTGTTTTTGCTTTCTCTGCAGGTTACAGGGAAGCTTCAGGTGTTGCAACGGTACCAAGATTTCTCTCATCGAGTACCAGGATGATATATGGAAGGAAAACGTGTTGGCAGTTCCGTGCACATCACCTGAGGCTTGGAGACGAATGGACCTTTCAACAGGGACTAATGATCCCAAGTATACCTCCTAGGCCTCTAGAGCATGGTTGCAGAGGTAAGGCTGGAACATTGTTGGAGTGGCCAACGAACGTCAACAACTTAAATCCGATTGAGAACCTCTGGTGGGTCTCTAAAATAGAAAGGCCAGTTGCAGTGCGCAACGGCCCTAAGAAATGTTGACATGAACTGGAGTCCTTTGCCCATGAAGAATTGGGCGAAGATTACCACGTAGATTCGCTGCAAGACACTTGTGTTAAGCTCTGCTTCACTCGTTTTAAAAGCAGTATAATATGACTGTAAAATGGATGCTGTAACTAAGTACTAAGAATTGAATGTCACCGTGGGGGTTGATTAAAAACTGAAAATGCTGTGAGCACAGAAAAGACAGTTGTGGTTATTTCATTATAACTGTTATGATTATAATATGGTCTGACCTACAAGTGCCTCTTTAATGTAAATGTAAAGCAAGTTGACTGAATGATCTAAAGCAATGTCCAAAAATGGCCAAAACATCAATTTCAGGGGGGGTGAATAATTTTTGG